AATTGAATTGAATTGAATCAAAGTCTTTATATTAAGGGCCATTAGTCAAACAATACTGTTTGCTCTGGGTCTAAATAGAGCGCGTTGTGTGTGACATCTTCTTTTGCGCATGCGGGCCGCTTTGAGCGTTCACACTAGTGCGCGTTTGCTGTTGCATTTTATTTGTAGTGCAAACGAGCAGACAAAAAAAATCAGATTTGATCAAAAAATTGGAATTGAGCATTAAGACCTGCAGTGTGAACGTAGCCTTTGATAAGTCTTCACATATTTCGCGCCAAAACGTCTGAACTGGTGGTATGCTATGCCTTCTAATGATACTGCCATAGGGATATCAGGAACCCAGTGGAACTCCATAATTAAATTTAGTGTGTGAAAAGGACTCTCCATTTCCTGTCGTGTTCGGGTCAAATCAGACCGATTTACAAATTTAAAATCTCCTAAATATTGTGTTTTACATCCGATTGCCCCAAGGCCTTATCACATCCTCCACACTATGCACTTGAACATATTAAAGTGATGAGCACCTCTTTCGTTGAATTTTGAGTGTTTTAATCAATTTTGTTACATCTGTGGTGTTCAAAAGTGACCGTCATGGAAAATGAATGGGAATCCATCATCATTTATTTATATAGCACTTTAAAAAGTGCTGTACAATACAAATATAAATATAGTAATAAAATAACAGAAATCAGACATAGCAACAAAATTAATAAAAATGTCAGTTACCCACAGAGTTAAAAGTCAGGGAATAAAAATAGTTTTTTAATAAGGACTTAAAAACTGGCACTGATGTAGCCTGTCTAATATGGAGAGGAAGGTTATTCCAAAGCATTGGCGCTGCAACAGAGAACGCTCGGTCTCCTCTAAGTTTCAGCCGTGACTTTGGGACCGAAAGCAACAACTGCTCAGCTGATCGAAGGGAATGAATGGGGACTTGGGACTTCAACAAGTCAGATAAATAAACAGGTGCCAGACCATTTAGAGATTTAAAAACCAATAAAAGGACTTTAAAACGGATCCTAAATTCAATTGGAAGCCAATGTAGAGAGGCCAAAATCGGAGTGATGTGGTCAAATTTCCTTTTGCCAGTTAAAACATAACATTGCATTGATAATATAACCTACAGCATTGATATAGCATCAAGATGTTTATTAAAGCTACTGGCATTGGATTAACCTTTTATTACAGGTGCAGCCATAATCACTTTATACACACATTGCATATTTGTGCTCATTCAGAGTTGATGCTCAGTCTATTAAAGGTTTCAAGCTTTGTGAAGCGCTATGTCTTCACAATATATTGTGTAGGTGACGTGGAGCAATAGAAGGATAAACAGCATTCACGCTTACAGACATATATGATTTAAACATAGGCCAGGCCGAAGGCCTGGAATTCATTTAGCATCTAACTGCATTTTAATTTGCTTAGTGACAGATGACAGAAGACGAGTCAAGAAGAGGACAAGCCCACAGGGACCGTCTGTGTCTGAAACGAATTGCCTTGTATGGAAGGTGTGATAGAAAAAGGAACTTCTTTGTCTAATTTTAGGGATTTAAGATTGACCATTTACTGTAACTGATGCATATTATGTTCATTTGTGACGCAGAAGGGGTTGAACCCTGACATGAATAAAACCATTCTGAATTGAGCTGTTCGGTGAAGATCGATGCTGGTGTTGCAGTATACATCTTCCCACGCGTGTACTCAATAAATCATTGTTTGACTGCACTCTTCTGGGCCTCTGTTGGTTTGTTCCATTGCTCAATATTTTCGAATTCGGGACAAAAGAGAATTGCAATAATCTAAACGTAAGGTAATAAAGGCATGAATAACACTTTCCAAGTCACGCTTGGAAAGAAAGGGCTTAACCTTCATTAAACGTCTGAGGTGATAGAATGCTGATTTTACCACCCCGTTTACGTGGTCATGAAAAGTAAGTGATCAACAGTATCGAACGCTGTACTGAGGTTTAGCACGATAAGCACAAAGATGAGTCCACTGTCAGAGGCCATAAGAAGATCATTTGTAACCTTCACCAAAGCTGTTTCTGTGCTGTGATGGGCTCTGAAACCTGGATGAAATCTGTCTTAGAAGGTATTAAATGCTGCACTTTGTTTAAATGCAAAAGAAAGAATAACAAACTACTCTGTGCTATACTGCCATTAGAAAAAAGCATGTTGTTTTTACTGCTAGTAGTTTACATAATAATAATAATAATAATAATAAAAACTTTATTTATAAAGTGCTGTGAAAATAAAGATATAAATAAATAAAAGTGATGCATAGCAATACAAGTTAAAAACACAAATTAACAAGTTAAAAACATAATAAAAGTTAAAAACGATAAAAATTTAAAAAAAAACCTAAAAGGCAAAGAATTAAGACATGTAGGATAGGGTGAACAAGTGGGTCTTCAACTTAGCTTTGAAAACCTCCACAGAGCATGCCTGCCTAATATCTTGAGGAAGGTTGTTCCACAAAAATGGGGCATGAAAAGAAAAAGCATGTTCCCCAATAGTTTTTTTTCTGGCTCTAGGAACCTTTAAAGGGCCAGAATCCTGGGATCGGAGAGCACGAGATGGAACATAAGGGTGCAAAAGATCAGAAAGGTATGAAGGTGCCAAACCATTTAAAGCCTTGTAGGTGGTTCATTTTTAAGCAGCAACCATCAGCTGGCTGAAGTTTTAGCTGCTGAGGATAGAGAACATAAGCTACGTATACAAACTATTGACAGAAGAGGATCCTACCCTATCACGTCTACAGCTGTGCTCAGCTCAGGGTCTAGCAGCAGAGAGAAGGCAATGGGCTCCCACAGGTTGTCACTGGCTATGATCTTGACCCTCTCCAGACCACTCTTATCCAGAGTGTATCGCAGCAGCTGGTGCAGACGGTCACAGTCATAGAAGGAGATTGACAGCAGAGAAGACGGATTCACAACTAGCACAATTCAGAATTTGTCTATACAATGTTTGCTGCTTCCATATAAAACTTTTATATCCAGAACTAGTTTCTCAAGAAACTGGTGGCATTAAAGATGCTTTTGCAGAGACTTGATGCAATAGGAGGGATAAACTACTGACTACAGTTAACATTTCAGTGATTCTGTCCATGTTTGGGACAATTTATTATCAATCAATCAATGCAGTGAAATGGGACCCCCCCCCCTCTCCCCGACCATACACACACAACACAGACATCACATGGGGATACAGGTCGGAGATCGGTAGCGTTACAGAAAAACACTGAAATATACACTACAATGGGAAA